CTAATGATTTCAAGAAGTATACAAAAAGATATGAATTTTTAATCGAGAATATGTCAGAAAATAGGGTAGCAGATTCTGCTCAAAACAGCTTTTGTAAGTCAACTTTGAAAATTCACTATAAATTGTATAAGATGAACTAGAAGGAGTGCCTTATATGTTCAGATTTTTATTCGAGTTTAGTTTCCAGTGGTATAATCAGAATAATTTTTAAGTATGTATATTAATACATAATAATATTTTTTAAAGGTAGTGCAAACTGCCAGCATATGAAACTTGTCATAAATTATGTTTTCACGTTACTCCTATGTTATATGCTATTATAAATGTTGAAATGAGTCAACTTTATTACATTTGGCATTATAGTTAAGATTATTTATTTCATGACGAATATGATGTGTCTATGTTCAAGAAAGTTAATTGAGGATGATTATGATATTTAAATGTTATACGGAAATGAAATGTTTAAGGTATGAACTGTCCATTATGTTATGATATGAAAAATCATTTATATCGATGTATTGATATCTTTGATATTCAATAACGTATAATAAGCATTGAGAGTCGTAGGTACACTTGACATGACAGGAAATTAAGTAAAGTTCAAGTTAAGTCAAGTTATGGTACATTCATGTACATTACGTATGGCACCGCTAGTGTATATGATATGTTTTTCACTTGAAGTGCATCTTATGATGATGATTGGCACCGTGAAGTGTCTAGTGCACACATTATGCATGACTCACGTACCTTGCATTCTCATAAATATGTATTGGGTTATGAACTTGAAAATAAGCTATGAATCTGAAATAAGTTTCAAGTCCGGAAACAAGTTTTGAATCTGAGAATGAGTTCTGAAATGTGAAAGTACGGATTATGAAAATGAAATATGAAAGTGAATATGAAAGTTTTGTATTGTATATGAATGAAAAAGAATATGATATGATTATTATGTATGGTATTGTTTATCATGACTTTGATATGACTATTCTTTATGATATTGTTTATCATGGTTTTGATAAAATCATGAGATGATGTTTTTCAGATCCTTGATGAGGAAAAATGTCTTGAATAAACTAGTTTGGATATTTAGTGATTTTATTGGAATTTAAGTTAATGTTTTAAATTGTTATGATATTATTAAGTTTTATATAAGTGAATATGTTGTTTAGATGTTGCTAAACTGTTTGATATTTATATCACTTTAGTTTATTTATAATGCCTCGCTTGTGATGATATCCTACCATTTTAAATTTTCTAGATAACATGTATACAAATAAGAAAAATCTAAGATATGTTATTATGGATATAAATATGAATTTAAGTTTTATGTTTTAAAAAAAATTATATTTTGACAGAGTAAACAAATATTTTAAATTAGACAGCAATTAAGCAGTTTATCGTATGATATGGAACAGTATAGAACTGCCTAGTTGTTGCATGAAACTGATATTGATTTAGAGGCTTAAATACTATAATATGATTTTTCGTAATTACATTATTTATTGAAATGATTAAATTGGATAAATTTTAAAAGTTCAAAATTTTACTAGATTTTCAACCTTAGAATGTATGTAAATTTATGTGACATCTTTGACTCGTATTCGGATACATATACAGGTTAAAGGTGCTACAGATGAGTTGTTCCACAAATTTCCATAAAGCGTATTTAATAAAATACACTTTAAAAATATTTTTAAAAAACAAAACCAAAAGGACTAATAAAGTTATTTAATACACATTAGTTCCATGAGATAAAAAGTCTAAGGGGGTGTTTGGTTCAAGGATTGTGGGATTCCCATAGGATGGGAATCCCACATTCCCATGTTTGGTTGGCCGGGAATCTCATTCCCGGTAATATTTTATTACCAATAGTAGATTTTTTGGGGTATATTACCAGGAATGTCATTACCTCCATTCCCTTAGGTATTGTAACATTACCGGCGTTTTGGACTAAAATGCTCTTAAATTTTTATTTTTTTTTCAAAAATATCTTTCTTCTGTCATTGAATAATAAAAATTCTACGAAATTTAAAATACAAATTTATCCTTAAATTATTTTAGATTTACAAAAAAAAGTCTATAATTAAAATTTTATATGAAGTTCAGGGGTTAAAGTTTTTTTACCCTTTCATTAAACCTTTTTATATTTTTAATTTTGTAAAAAAAATATATAAATATTATGAATTTAATTTTTTTAAAGAAAATATATAAATATTTTACAATTTGTAATATTATAGAAATATATAATAAGGACAATTTGGTCAAATATACATTCCAATAATCTTTTATTCCTTTAACCAAACACGGTAATCTTACATTCCTGCTAAACCAACCAAACAAAAAATACAACATTCCCAGTAATCCTATTCCCTGGTAATCTTTTATTATCACTGGAAATCTTACATTCCGTGAACCAAACGTACCCTAAGGGTATTAATTTATATAGGCATGGTGAAGTGTTTAGCCTATATTTACTAACAATGTGGGATAAAAAGTCAAAATGAGTTCTCATACTTTTTTCTCATGTAATCTTTATTTTCTTTATTTTTTACTTAATACATTAAGTTAGAGTGTTTTGTTTTTACTATTTAAATAAAAATTAGAGTTTATATTAAATTAAAATTAAACATTTTTTATATGTTAAAATATTAAAATTTTTATTTTTATTTTTCTTCTATAATTGATAATTGATCAATGTAAACATCAACAACTCCAATTATATTAGTTTCTCCCCCAACAACTTGTAAAACACTCGACCAAATTAGCAGATGGAAGATCTATCTAAAGAACAATTTGTATTTTGTATTTTATATATGAACTTTTAATGAAGACAAAGCTAATATTAATGGACATGCTAGACAAAAACATCATGTCATTCGAACATGGTTCTTCATTTGTATGTTTATCCATGCGTGTTTCCATTTGTATGTCAATGTCATTCGGACTATTCTTCATTTTTATTCCCATTATTCTTCAACTACAGAAAATAATGAAAATTTGCTCAAATAAACAAAATAAGATGGCGTTGGATTTTATATTTTCACATGTTCATATTAAAGAACAAATAAATGTTTATTTATAATATTTACTAAAATTTTATTAACTAACCTACCTAAGTAGTTATTGATGTTATCTTTTAAGTTTATGAGTTTGATACGTAGGTTAACTTATGTATTTTAGATTTTCTATCTGCTGATAGTTTAGTCGAGTGATCTACAGTTTGTTGGGGAAAATAGATATAATTCGAAGTTGTTGATGTTTACATCGATCGATCATAGAAGAAAAATAAAAATAAATATTTAAATATTTTAACGTATAAAAAATATTTAATTTTAATCGATATAAACTTTACTTTATATTTTAATAGTAAAAATAAAAACTCTAACTTAATGTATTAAGTAAACATAAAGAAAATAAATATTACATGAGAAAATTATAGGATAACTTATTTTAACTTTTATCTCACATTATTAATAAATATAGGTTAAACACTCCACCATGCATATATAAACTAACAAACTTAGGCTCATGGAACTAATTTATATTTTATTAATTATGCTTTATGAAAATATGTAGTAAAATTTGCCCTTGAAACACGCTCCGTAGCTGGCTTGGCCTTTTTTGTCATGTGTGTAAGATACGTTTCACGAAACGTGTCTCTCCTTCTCTCTACTAAAAAGCATGTTACTTTGGTAAAATTTGGAGAAACAATGTTAATTTGATATATATTTTTTAATTTTTGGGTATGGTTTTCAGAACTGGACCGGTTAACGAATCGATCATGTTATCGGTTTACTGAAAGAACCGGACGACGTCATAATTATTTAAAAAATTAAATAAAAATACTAAAAATATTTAATAAAAAATAATTTTTTATATCACAAGTCATATTCAAAGCAAGTCATAACATATATAAATTAAAAACCATAAAATCAAGTGAAACAAAATGATTCAAATTAACTACAACATAATATTTAAGGTAAAACATATTAAATAATAAATATAATTATATAACTATAATTAAAAAATAAATTTGGGGCTAAAAAATCATAACAAAATGATATTGCTTGGTTTAATTTTTTTTAAAACAATCCCACATGGCTAAGAAACATAGGAGTATCCCAAAAGTCTAAAGAGTAAAAATATGAGAACAAAACAATCCCACATTGCTGAGAAACATAGAAGAGCATCACAACTAACTTCTATAAATAATAGAGGTAATTTGGTATTCAAAATCATTGAGCCTTTTGGTGAGCATTGAGTGAACTATTCTTTCACTTCAATCAAGCTTGAATTTTAGGCTTCAATTGAGCTTCTAATTTTTTTAGTTCAAGTCTTTTTGAGTTCAAGTTTAAATATTATATTTCGAGTTCGAGTTTAACTTGATAATTTTTAACTTGTGAGTTTGAGTGGAGTTGAGCTTATTTTTAAAGTTTTCAAGTTCGAGTTAAGCTCATCAATACTTGAGTTCGACTTGGCTCGTTTAACAAACGACGTTTGAATTAATTTTTAAAAACAAAAACAAAATTTTTTGGTTTTTTTCGGTTTTTTTCGGTTTTCAGCCGGTCTGGTTTGAACGGTTCAACGATTCTGGCCGGTTCATTAGCAGTGGTTCAACCGATTTAGATTGAACCGAATTAGGCAATGATTCCCGATTGAATCGATTGAACCAGCTGATCCGATCCGATTTTCAAAACAATGTTTTTGGGTGACTTTTAGATAAAAAAATACCAAATTCAGGTGCCGGTTATATTTATCTAACCGGGTGGTTTTTATCCTTTTGGAAGTTTCCGAACCGCCCCACGTATCTTAGCCACAAATGGGATTAGTGGTCGGCAGTCCATCCTTTTGCTAGGGATGTGTTTGGTTTCTAACTAATCTTCTCCTCAATAGTTTAATCCTGGCGCTAAAATTGTTCATACATGAAATTTCACACTCTATTTATAATTCTAATTCAAAGAAATATTTACACATTTGAGGTTGTAATTAAATAACATTAGATTAGTTGTTACATTTATTTTTTTATTGTTTAAGTAATACATTTTCACCCACAATAAGAGCTTTTAAGTCTAAAGAAGACGATGTTACGGCACAGAAGAAAACACTCTTCCCTATAAAAAAAACACAGTCCGTGTCTGAGCTAAAGGGGAGACTCACCTTCACCTAAACTCCAAAATCTGAACATGCTCACCTCTTTTTAACTCGCGTTCGACTCACAAGAAAACCACCGTCTCAGTGAGTTCAAAGAAAGTAATGGAGACAAGTATAACAACAACAGGAACCTCCGTAAAGGAGAAAAGTGATCAGCAGCAGGTACTCGACGGTTCCAGTATAATGGAATTGGTCGATAACGACGAGGTGTTTAGCAGCTTCGTGGATCACAAATTCAAGGAGCTCGACAAGGACAACGACGGGCAGCTCTCCGTGAAGGAATTAAAACCGGTCGTTGCCGATATCGGCGCTGCTCTAGGCTTGCCTGTTCAGGGTTCTTCTCCTGTTTCCGACAATATCTACTCCGAGGTTTGTCCCCAACAAGCACCGTCCTATAGTTTTCTTTTTCCCTAAAAAAACACGTTTTTTTTCAGGCTTTGAACGAGTTCACTCATGGACAACAAGAAAAAGTGAGTAAGACTGAGTTTAAAGAGGTTCTTTCGGATATTCTGCTAGGTATGGCAGCGGGTTTGAAGCGAGACCCGGTTGTGATTCTTCGTATTGAAGGAGAGGATCTGTTGGAATTCATGGATGGTCCGAGTTATGATGCAGAGATGGTGTCTATATTTTCACAGATAGGTTGCTCGGATGATGATGCGTCGTTGCTCGATTGCATTGTTAAGGCTTTTGGGAAACTTACGGTTGATCATGGAATGCCCCCTTGTTCCGATTCATGGGTGATTTACTTTCCCTGTCTACATTTCACTAACATTAAGGAAACGTAGGAAAAACCCAAAGGACTAATGTTAGAATTAACCTCTAATTATAATTAGTGTATTAAACTAGTCGAGCATGAGTATTGTTGAGTTCGGCTCGTAATTTCTAAGATAAACTCTACTCAACTCGAAAAATCGCGAGTTCAAAATCTTGAATTAAAGTTTTAAAACTCGAAATAAAAAAAACTCTTTAACTTTACTCGGTTAAAGTTTAAACTCGAATTTAAATATTAAGTATATAAAAACCTTCTACTACATTTTTTCCCTAAATAAACACGTAAATGTTTATATAATTAATAATTTAATTTTCTAAAAAATAATTTTTTTAATATATAACTTTTTAGAGTTACTCGTAAATTTTTGAGTCGAGTATCAAGTAATTCGTTAAAATTTAGAGTCGAATTCAAATTCGAGTCGAGTCTATTCGAGTTGAATATTTATCTATCGTTGACCGATTCAATCTCAAGTAGTTCACGATCTGTCTTGTCTCATCTATAACCCATCAATAATCTAACACATAGAAATAATATGTCAGTAACATATATCGATCGTTAATTAATTAACGGATTTCATCTAGTATAGATCATTCCAATAAAAAATTAAAAATTAAAAGGTTAGTCATAAAAACCAAAAACTGATTATTTCAATAAAGGTTAGAGACTGATTTTAGTATTATGCTGAACCAAAAACTCGAGCTTTCTTTTTGGGTTGTGATGCTGGTGTAGGTCATGAGCAACATAGTGGAACCAGCTTTAAAATCATGGGATGGCTATGATCAAGGCGTGCCCGTCTCCAAAATAACGTTCTTGGAAGAATTTAAGAAAGTGGCGAAGCATGTGGCTCAAAACCTCAAGGAGCAGCCCGTCATTGTTGCCCATAGTGAAAACACTTTTGATGGAAATGGCATCAAGAGATTACTATCCAACAAGTTTGAACTCGACAGGGTACATGTTCATTGTTGTCATTCGATGAATGTGTTCGGTCATTACTAATCAATGCTTTCACTTTGCAAATGCAGTCACTGAATGCAGCTTTACAAAACGTTCCCAGAGATCGCCATGGGAAAATATCGACCAAGTGTTTACGCGTCGTGCTAGATGAAGTGGCTCCGTCTGCCGGTCTACCTCCGATCGGTGCGGTCAAAAAGGTATCTCAATGGCACATCACGCACATGCAATTTCGGCCTTGATTTCCCCTGTTTCGTTCCACTTACCAAAGTTGTTGAAATTCACCAGATCGACGAGGTCGTTGCGGATGTTTTCGGCACAATACGTGCGGATGAGGGGAAGACGGTTAAAGAAGATGAGTTGAAGAAACTGGTGACAGAGATGTTGTGGAACATCATGCAGCGGTTAGAGGAAAATCCCATCGCAGTTTCATCAAGCTGTGTAGTGCATGAGCCCCTTGAATCATCCTCCTCCATTTTGCAGCCATAATCCAAGTTCTCAATTCCACTAGCTTAAGTTCCTTTTGTGAAATTCAGTGGGTTGTGTCAATGAAAAATGGGTATCCATATCACTTTAAAGTATCGGTGTGATATTCGCTATTGGGTATTGTATATGATTGATATCGATAATCTCAAATATTAAAATATCTATAAAATAATCTCTAAAATCATAATTTGATTAACTTGTTACTGATAACTAAATTAAATTTAATAAAGTTGTTGGTAGTATTTCAATCAGTTAATACAAATCATTGACATTGTTCATAATTGGATCAGAAGGATTACAATCAGTTAATACAAACCTTTATTTTTATCAATTTATATTTCAATCATTTAATTTTAATTTTAAAATTTTATATTTCGATCGGATAATATAAATCATTGATATTATTCATTTTATAATTCTTTTTCTCATTAAAATTTAGAAAAAAAATACAAATTGATTACTTCATGATGTTAATTATAATAAATCAATTATTTATCGTTAATAATTTATTAATATAAATAACAAAATATTAACGTGACACATTTTAACTGTATTAATTACTTTTTTACTCTTATTTTTAGGGTAAACTACACAGTTAGTCACTTTTGTTTCATTTTTATAAACGAATTGTTACTCAATTCAAAAAACTTAATTCGTAGTCATTTTCGTTTTGTTTAAATTAAGATATGGCCACTTACCCTAAACATTCGTTAAAAGTTTAACGATTTGATGACATGACACGTTAATAAAATGATTGAACTTTAAATAGAATTTAATTATAGACTTTTTTGAATCTAAAGTAGTTTAGGGACAAGTTTGCAATTTATCATTTTTTAATATGCTTTTTTTTCCTTAATTCCCCTTATACCGTACACCCCATCTCCTCCTCCAGCTATGGCAATTGGGGAAAGCAATGGCCCATCGTCATCATAGGATCTTAAATCCGATGGTTTGGGCTCCTCAGCCACGATCGCAGGGTTTGGCCAAGCCTTGTGCTTGCAATGCGTAGGATCAAGAACTCTCTGAGTGTTCATGATATTGAGAACGTCAAGGTCAGTACTTCGTTGGCGATGGACGTTTTGCAATCGATTTTTCCTCCATCGAGCAGTGAGTTTTGGTCCGATTGTGCGAATACGGTAATGACACCATTGTTGACTTTTTAGATCAAAATGAATCCCTTCGATATTGTTGGTGGATATTTGCATGAACTTCAGTATCATTACGGATCATACTTCGGTTCCATCAAATACTATCATTACAGAATATTGTAATTTTAACATTTATATTCAAATACTATCTAGATCTAGAATATCTAAATCCATAAAAAATATAGGTTGAATATCGAGTCCACAATCTAGATTGTCATCCATACTTTCACAGACTAGAAAGCGTCTTTTCCCCATGTTAAATTCAATTCAATGGGAAATACATAAATATTTTTCAGAGTTGACACATATGTATTAATAAAAAAAAATCGTACCGGACAAATACAAATAAAATTTCAGAGTGAGATTCATTAAATAAAATAAACAACTAACATAAAAAGAATTAAAGAAATTCGAATTCCATTGTGGGCATGTACTAACCGTGGGTTGTACATACATTCACCAATGGTTAGATTAACATTTAGGGACGATTATGTGTCAAATCAATTTTTGTCACATGAATCCAACCCAAAAATTATACTATTAAGCCTACATTCGATTCAATTCAAGTTTAAGGAAATTTTATCCGACTTGAAACTTGAATTTGATTTTTAGGATTAAAATGTACACTCGATTTGACCTGACATAAATATATATGTAAAAAAATCATTTTTATTAAATAAAATAGAGACGTAATTGAAAAAAAAAATATAAAGAGAGCCAAACCAAAGTTTTTAAAGGAGAAAAAGATCCTATTTCGCTGGAAATCCGTCAATTTCGGGTCAAATACACACCCCCACTAACATCTACATATACCGTGAAAATTACCAAAATGAAAATGCATATAAAGATTGAAAGAATTGAGTCAACTGACATTGAAGTATTTTTGTTTTGTTTTGTTTTGTTGAAATCAACTGAACAAACAACAAGTTCTAGAATGTTCAAAGTATTGAAGTATTTTCTAAGTAAAGAAAACTTATCTTAAAGTCCATGAATTTGATCTTCTCACGATGGGCTTCATTTGTCTGTCTTCCTCCATTGATACCGTTCCCAAGTGAGATGGATCTTCCAACATCATCTTTGCCACCAAGTAACCAGCAATGGACCATGTTTGGGCTTTACGCGCTTGCTTCCCAATGTATCGCCCCAGCTTTCCGTCATAGTATTCAGGCCACTGGTCCTTCAGCACCTTGGTTTAAGCTATTTCAATCGCACGCCTCGCAATTTTTGGGCGTCCGGTCTTCACGCACGCAGCTGTGAGTAGCCATAACAGCACTGGACACAAAATGCAGCATACCAGCTTATACATTCTATTATTTTTATGAAAACTTACCTCACCATGTCTATTTTATGAAGTTCAATAATGCTAGCAAGCGCATGCATGGTGAAGTTGATATCATTCTTGGAGTTTTTTGCACGTAAGAGATCATTTTGATAGGACTAATCGGTGCCTGGCCATGATCCCCATTGTGGTAGCTCCATCCCGTGTTTTTGGGATCACATCCGGTTACAATCCGCCATTCATGAGTTTCCAAGGCTGGATAACAAACCTTTAATGGCATTTCTCCGATCAATACTTCCCAGCGTGATTCTATAAGATCCATGATTGCAGTGGATTGTTCAGGAGTGGCCAATGATGACAGAATGGCGATACAATTGCCCAAGCAGAACCATCGGAAATCCATTCTTGCGGGGCTGACATTACCGATAAAGTATGTTGACTGCAGTATGAGAGTACTCTTCCGTCTTGAAACGATATATGTCATTGAGCTGCTTAAAGTCGAGCCAAAAATAACTTCTCATGTGATAGCTCAATTCATGCAGGCGTTTAACCATTCGTTCTATGAACTACTTTCCTTCATTATCTTGCTTGAGTAGAAGCAATGCACACCTTAAGGCCATGAAGAAAAGAGTTTGGATTTCAATGGGATAACCTAATACACCCTGCAAACATGATGACAAGAACAGAGCTCAGCCCAACTTTGTTTAGAGATAAAACATGAGCATATCAGTTCCAAAACAAATTTACCCATGATAAATTAATAAACTAAATTATCTTTCGAAGAAAAAGTCAGTGCATTCTTGCTGTATATGCACTACAATTCATCAAACTTCAAAACTCTTCATTATTGGTAAAAAGATTTCTGTTCTGCTCCAAGAAATATCAGCAACCAAACAAGCACGCTAGAATGAGGAAAAGGTTGAGTGGGAAATACAGAACGTGTTTCAATGGATGAATTATAATTGGAAATTAGGAATAGTGCATTTTACTAACATAGCATCGTTTCCAATGGAGAGCTGCGAAAAGTAGCTCATATTCGCATGCTTGATTTACTTCCAATGCAAGACTAAGGATGCAACTTCGACCAAACAATACTTCTCGTCACTGCGAGATAAATTTAGGAAAGTAGTTTTTTTAATGTGAAGAAGAGAAGGAATGTTGCTACTAGAAGAACAAAAACAGAACTTTATACTAAAAATCAGAAACGTTACAATTTTTTTAAAACAAAATAAATAACCACTAACAATATGATCCTAAACTTTCTAAAAAATAACTACTTCCTAAAAAATAGGAACAAATTTTGACACAATCAACTTAACAAACAAACATAAAAACCGTGTGGACATGTTTTAGTCCTGAAGCAGTCTTCTAACACTCCTCCTTGCTTTAGGAGCTGCAAACGCCAAGTCTTGACCTCAAAAACTCAAACTTGAAAGCAGACAACGGTTTGGTTAAAATGTCTGCAACTTTTTTCTTCTGTTTTGCAGTAGACAAGAATCACATCTCCATGATTCTGTACTTCCATTAGGAAGAATAACTTGATGTTGAAATGTTTAGTCTTCCCATGAAACACAGGATTATGAGAGATAGCAATAGCAACTTGGTTGTCAATAAGGATCTCTGTGCTTTCCTTCTGCTTTAGATCAAGATCAAGTAAAATCTTTCTTAGCCATAAAGCTTGATTAACAGTAGCTGTTGCAGCAATAAACTCTGCTTCGGCAGTGAGTTGAGCTACAATTTCTTGCTTTTTTGAGCTCAAAGAGAAAACACTAGAGCCAAGAGTAAAACACCAGAGCCAAGAGTAAAATAGTAGCCTGAAGTGCTCTTCATATCATCAATGGAACCTCCCCAGTCACTGTCAGAAAAACCAACCAGCTTGAACTCTTTGCACCTTTTGAGCTTAACACCAAAATCACTTGTGCCTTTGATATATCGAATCACTCTTTTGGCAGCCTTGAGATGTAATTCACTTGTACAATGCATGAATCGAGACAAAATACTTACAGCATTCAAAATATCTGGCCTTGTTGTCGTGAGATACATCAAGCAGCCAATCAAACTCTTGAAATATCCTTCATCAACTTTGTCAGCACCATCTTATTTGCACAGCTTCTCCCTTTGATTCATTGGAGTGCTAACTGCCTTGCGCTCTTCCATCTGAAACTTCTTTAGTATTTCCTTTGCATACTTTTTCTGGCAGATAAAAACTTCACATTGCCCTTGTTTAATCTCCATGCCAAGGAAGTAGGAAATAAACCCGAGATCTGTCATTTCAAACACCTTCATCATCTCTTGTTTGAAATTTTGAATATGATATGTATTGTTTCCTGTAACTAGTAGGTCATCAACATACAATGAAACAATAAGAATGTCAGTACCACCGTGCTTGACATACAAGGTTGTTTCTGATGGACTTTTCACAAAACCAAAGTTCAACAAATGTTCATCAATTTTACTATACCAAGCTCTTGGAGCTTGTTTTAGACCATAAAGGATCTTCTTGAGAAGATAGACTTTATCTCATTCACCTTCCTTCACAAATCCTTGGGGCTGCTCCACATAAATTTCTTCCTGTAAGACACCATTTAAAAAAGCCGATTTGACATCCAACTGGAACACTTTCCAGTCATTTTGTGCAGTTATTGCAAGCAGTAACCGGGTTGTGTCT